TTTAAAACATAATTTCAGCTTCATCTTGCAAACATTGTTTAAAGCAAAAGCTTTGACTATTTTGTTTACAGCATTTTTCAGAGGGTCATTTGAAATGTGTAGCTTTAAGTTTTAAAAGTTTTATGGAATTATAGCAGATGACCAGCTGTTTCCAGATTGCTAGGGCACAGAAGTTAGAATTCCCATTATCACATTAATCATAAAGAATTGAGACTAAAAAATCCATTTTATTTATTCTCATTATTGAATAAAGAGTTCTGTAGTGATGCCTATTTGTACTTGTTTCTCTAATAAAAATCAACTGTAGCTCTCAAAACAAATTAGTTTTAATTATTTGAATGGTATGAATTTGTCAAACAAATAATCTAACACGTGTTTTGCCTTTTCATTTTGTGAAAGAAATGTTTTGTGAAAACTATTAGAGGATGATAGTGGGAAATAACAATTACAAAGGTAGGTCTATGCATTTATTACAAGTATCAATTAAAAAAAAATACGCAAGTGTGAACGGATCACAATCTGTCAGGATGAAGAAGTATTCCATTTCATTGTTGTGTGAGGTCACAAGAGAAAACAGCAAAATAGAAAAATGTCTCTCATATGCTGATTCAGTGCAACTCACTCATCCTATGCTCATCTTTGAGAACTGGTAAAAGTGATTTACCTTATAGCAATTCATCATATGAATACGATGCTAACGTTACAAAGCAGTGATTGTTGTGGCTTTTGAGATGCTGCCACTCACTAGTATGTGTTAAAGAAACCTCTTTAGGCAAAGGAAATGACAAATCTGTGTTTCCTGCTTTCTATTTGTTTTAGTAACTTCACTTCTGGAGATCTACCTGACCATACATGAAGAGTACTCAAAATGTGTAATGGGATATATAAAACAATTGTTTGCTAAAAATAGGGAGTGGGATTTTTTTTTTCTCCACTGAATACTGTAATGATATCAGTTATTTATGTCTTGTGTTGCATTTTGTTTTAAAATACCACTATTTAAAATTAGTAATGTCTTAACACACTATCCTGCATTCATTTATCATTTGGTTGAGGAGGGAAATTAAAAATGTAATTCAATTGGTTGGTAGTGCTGGCCTTATACAGCACTTGAAGCATTGATAATTTGTATGATTTTCTGTATATTAAAACATACTTTAATATTTATTATCTTTGTGGTGTATTAACTGATACATTTTTTGGTAAAGAAAATATGCTAAGCAGATAGTTACTGTTCTAAATAAACAAGGTAATTTTAGAATACTATGAAGCTGTTCAAACCTACTACTGAGTAGTTTGGCTGCAAGATTAATCATCTCTATTGTCTGTTCTTGAGGTGTCTCTCCCTCTGTGCAAAGTATTTCGAGCAGTAAAGCTAATCATGAGAACTTATAATACTCCAAATATATCATTATGTGACCACAGTGTGTATTGTCCCCTGTACATCAACAGTGTAGTTCAAGCTTTCAGAGCTGTCTTTAAAGAGAAGAAAAAAAGTGAATTTTCTCAAAGTGCTTCTATGATTATATTTTATGTAAATAATATTTCTCATTTGAAAAGCTTATTCTCCTAATTTTGCATATCTTCCTCCTTTTAAAAGCTGTTTATTTTCAATAAATACTTACTGTCAATTAGACAGTAGATTGAGTGCAAGAAAGGTAGTATAGGAGTAATGGTATTTTTTAATGGCATTAGAATTCAACTAAAAATTGATTGTTGAAATAAAATAATTTGTCTAGTGTTTCAAAGAGTCAGAGTATGTAATTTCAAGAAAATCTGGTTTTGCTTTAGTTCCAGTTTTTACAATAATTTTCATAAATATGTGACTTGAAACTTTATTAACTGCTGTGTTAATTAGTAGACAAAAGCTTATGCAAAAACAGGAGGTTGTTTTCAAAACTACTGAGGAAGACACTTCTCTGTTCTTTTGGTGTTGAAGACAGGACTCTTAACTGTTTTAAGCTTCCAAAACTATTTATTTTTTTAATCTGACTACAAGTTCAGGAGAAAAAAAAATCTTTCTAGAAAAGAAATTAGTTTTTATTTTAACACTAGACTGGAAATTTTACGTTCATTTTACGTAGGCTGTTCTAAAAATGTACCTTACAATCCAGTAACTAATATGTAATCTGGCTACATAAATTTATGTAAGCAGCATAATTACTGATGTGGCATTAATTTCTGCAATGGTTTTCAAGAAGCCTACATGTTAGTAAAGGTGTTAGGATGGTAGTCAATTAAGCACATCAAAATAATTTAGTTTTTGAAAAGTATAAGATATGTTTAAAAAGTATTGAGGTAGTGTCCTATCTGATCTATTTTCTCAATTCTTAAATATGTTTCCCTAAAGAGATAGAGTTCTTTGCTACTTAACATACTCAAAAAAAAAAAAAACACAAACAAAACATACAAAAGAAAAAACAAAACATGACACCAAGAACAATGAAAGAACACCCTTTTTAATCTAATGAATGAATGGTGAGCAGCAAACATCACTCTA